CTCCAGTCCCCCTCGTTCTCAAAAATATGGTTTTCTGTTTGTTTGAGTCTAATGCTTGTTACCTGGTCCTGACGACACCTCATGATCTCACAGGCTGATGTGCTGCTTCCAGGTGGGTTTGTTGCTTCTCTGCTGGATGGCCGCTTGTTTAACTTCAAGCCTTTGAGACCTCAGATGCTGTATCTTTTTTTTTTTCCTTTATCTTTTGATAGCCAGGCTTTATTCACCACATTTGCTTAAGCACCGATTTTGTCTCAGCGATTGTGCCGGGACGGTGAGCATCCCAGAATACCAGGTTGTTAGAACAAACTGTTCTTGCTTTGAGGGAGTATGAGCACAGGCCCGAAATCCATCCAGTACCTCAGTGTATTGCCATATAAATATATGTACATCGGCCAATACCTCTATTTTAATGAATTAATGTATTTACATATGTACATACCTATGTTTGCACCTCTATCCATAGCTTTGCTTCCTAGGTCTTTCCTGGTTCCTTCTGCCTTCTTCCTGCCCCCCCATCATGCTAGCCCAACTTCATCCTCTTAGTAATTCTTTCAGCTAGATTGCTGTTGCTCCAATACCCCCAGCATCTCTACGTCCTCCTTGTTGATTTTAATTCCCTAGTTGTTCCCCTGTTTATGGCATTGTTTGCTCGCTGCTCCTTTCCCCCTGCCTCCTTCTCCCCCCAAGACATTTAATTCTTAATAACTGTTGGCATTTAGAATTATCTTAAGAATGTGGTTTTGCTTTTATGGCACCCACTTTCCTTCATTTGGTTAAACTTAGAGGTTGATGTTTTTGAAAGGTAAATAAGCACTGTCTCAAAAGTCCCTTGAAACTTTCGATGTGATTGTTCGATACCCACGTGATGATTCTATACCACACTGTTATACCAACCCCTCCAGCCACTCGCACTGCCTCTGTCTGTATGCTTTTACTGGCAGGTATCAAGGGCTTCTTTAACACACAGGATAACTTTTCATTGTCGTGCTCTAGTGGAGTAGAACCTTGTGGACAATGGTTTTTTTAGTGGCAATCGGGGATAGGCACTTATGGTAAAATTTGACTGTATTTAGTACTGATGAAAAGGAGCCCTTGTGGCAAAGTGGGCTGCTAATCACAAGGTCAGCAGTTCGATTCCTGTAAAGAGTTACTGTCTAGGGGAGGTCTACCCTCCCCTAGAGGGTCGCCATCCACTCGATGGCAGTGAGTTTGGCTGATTCCTAAAGAGAAGTCGATGTTGTCACAGTAAAGGCATGACATTCACGTTGTAACTACTGCCACATGCTGGCACATTTCTTACGGTAGTTGTGAGATGCCCACACTCATTTCAGATTCTTAAAAAACTGGCGAAAGGACGAACCTTAACATTGAGGGAATGCTTCCAAGGTGACCCTGTGTTTCTTTCTTGTCAGTGTATTATTAAAGCTTTTCAAGTTCTGCCTCCTTTCTTTGTGAACAGCCCTGCAGTTGTATTTTCCTGGAATTTGTTAAAGGGAGCATCTCTCTTTGCGAGATGGGTTCACAGAGGGAGACCCGGCAACCATCTCACTTCATGGTGCAGTTAGGTGTCCCTTTGAAGCACCGTTTTGTCAACTCCTGGGAATTTTTTAAAAAATGTGTGTCGAGTTCCCGAACGAGGGAGCTATATTTATTCTGTGGCTGTTTGCGTCTCCGTCCTATGACTCCTTCTTCTTGGATGCATTTTCTGTTCTTATTTCTGCATAGGCTACGTGGAACCGATGCAGACACTCAATGACGTGTTAGCCCAGCTCGATGCGGTCGTCAGCTTTGCTCACGTGTCAAACGCAGCCCCTGTGCCGTATGTTCGGCCGGTCATCCTGGAGAAAGGACAAGGAAGAATGAGCCTGAAAGCATCTAGACACGCTTGTGTTGAAGTTCAAGATGAAGTTGCGTTTATTCCCAACGATGTGCTCTTCGAAAAAGATAAACAGATGTTCCACATCATTACTGGTAAAAACCTAGTTGATAGTCTTTTTTCTCCCCTTTTAAACCATTTCTCATCTTTTCTGGTGGAAAGAGGATTTGAAATTGAGGAAGACGATCCCAGTCTTTTGACCTTGGCAAAGGAGCACAGGACTCTTGGTAGTTCGTGATTCACATTTGCCGTAGAGAGATGAGGTTTATGAGGGAGTACGGTATTCGGATGAAATGTCTGGTCCAGAGTTTCAGAGCCCTTCCCAGGGAACAGTCCTCCATCCTGAAAGTTTACCTCTGGGCTGGTCTTTCCAGTCGAGAGATGATTGAAGGGCAGCCGGAACTGGCCTGCAGGATGTCCTCAGCGCAGGCAGGACCTCCTCAGACACGGTACCAGAGTCATGTGAACTCTGGGGGACAAGAAATGGGCTGACTTTTCTAGGGTATCATGCTTTAAACGGAGGTGTCTGGGGGCTGGAACTGACACTGTCGGGTGAATTGGACGGCTGAGCACAGCTCAGAGCTGCCTGGCCGCTCCGTTAAAGATCGACAGCCTCGGAAACCTTGTGTCGGGTCACCATGCGCTGGAATTGACTCAATGCTCGTGGGATCCAGATTATGGAAAGCAGAAAGGGGAGGCAGGACCGTTGGCCAACATTGGTGGCTGTACTCTGCTGTGCTATTTCCCTAAATGGATTTTCCAGTGTTGCATTGAGTCCAAGCCAGGCAAGTTCGTGAACCACACATGTTCCAAAAGCAAGGTCCTGGGGCTTTTGTGTAGCATATAAATGTTCTACCACATCGATCCATTCCCTACCAGTACCATTTGTTAATGAATAGCAGGCTTTAACTAATAGTCAAGCTTTTCCCTGGAAGTCATTAAATTACCCTGTGGGCAGTGAGAAAATGTATGTATGGTCTTTTTTAGACATACGTCAGGTAATCATTTCTTTTTTGGTACCTGGTTTGAAGAAATCACTGACTGCTGTAAGGGCACCTTAGACCCTCTGGGCAGTCCATGGTTCTGCTTCTAGTCCGTCACATCAGCGTGACAACCAGTGTAATTAGTCACCGATACAAAAGTGGTGTTCCGCCCTCTGTTTAGGATGAACAGTTAATTTGTTAGCAGAGAGAAGTGAATGGTTTTTCTCTGAAATCATTTGTGTTATAGGCCCCAATATGGGTGGTAAATCAACGTACATTCGCCAGACCGGTGTGGTGGTTCTGATGGCCCAGATTGGGTGTTTTGTGCCGTGCGAGTCAGCAGAAGTGTCCATTGTGGACTGCATCTTGGCCCGAGTCGGGGCCGGCGACAGTCAGCTGAAAGGAGTCTCCACGTTCATGGCTGAAATGTTAGAAACGGCTTCTATTCTCAGGTAAGTGCGTGCCCTGGTCCCCGAAAGCGGAAAGGAAGATCCCCGTCTTGTGGAGGTGTGTCTGCAGACTCATCTACACAACATCCAGGGAGCTTTAAGTATGTTGAACTGCCTTGTAAGTGGTTAGTACTCGTGGAAAGCGTCTTTGAACTTAAGAATTGTTTCTCCTTAAGGTCTCTGGTAGTAGCTCACCTGTTAAACCTTCGACATAGCAAGTGTGCTTTACTTACCGGTTTCTTGTTCCCCCTCCACCACCATAGTTTTGTTTTTGTTGTTCTGGCCACCTGGAAGAGTCCTTCCTTGCCCGTTGCTTAACTCCTTTCCAATGTTAGCGCCTGTCGACCAATTCTACTTCTGTGCTGATTTCCCTGGTCACAGAAGCCTAAAGTTGGGGGCCTTCTCTACTTCTTTGACTTGCCCTAAAGCTTGTGTGTATTTTGCATTAGAAGTTTGTGTAGTAAAGACCAATTCACCTTTGTCCTGGTTCCTTGGGGGTAACTGCTAAACTCTTGGGATTCCCTAACTCAGTGGTTCTCAACCTTCCTAATGCCACAGCCCTTTAATACAGTTCCTCATATTGTGGTGACTCCCCAACCACAAAGTTATTTTCGTTGCTACTTCATAACTAATTTTGCTACTGTTGTGAACCATAATGTAAATATCTGATATTCAGGGTGTATTTTCATTGTTAAAAATCGAACATAATTAAAGCATAGTGATTAATCACAAAACAGTATGTAGTGACATATTGTGAAATATTTATGTGTTTTCCGATGGTCTTAGGCAACCCCTGTGAAAGGGTCGTCCGACTCCCCAAAGGGGTCGTGCCCACAGGTTGAGAACCGCTGCCTTAACGTATAGGAATGCCTTCGTTATTCACAGTGGACCTCTAGTCACACTGGGTTGGGCCTTGCCATGCCAGAAAGACTAGTCACGCTTGTCAACCTTCTGACCGAGTGCGTAGAGGTTTGGTTTCCTGGGCTACGTACCACGAGCTCAGTCTGAGGTTGGAGGATCAGGGCAGGAGATTGAGTTCAGCTCTGTGGGCAGTGGTTTAGTATAACACGTACGTAATATGAAACCTAGGCACAGGCTTGGGTGAGCTTCTGTGGTTAGCAGCAGTGACCTTTCAATACCTGGAGGACATTGAAGGAGGAATGTGGAAGCGCCACCATTGGAACTCTCCCAAACCTCGCCCATGTACTGACTCCTTTGGCTGCCTCTAATTTGTATCCTTTTGCTATAGGAAACCTAATAAAAAAAAAAAAAAGGAAGAAAGAAGAAAACTAATCATACATATAGCACTTTTGTAAGTCAGTTGTTCTAGTGAAGTCGTGAACTTGAAAATAGCCCTGAACTTGGAGGTGGTTCTTGGCGAGGGCGGTGAGGGCTATGGCATCTCTTCCTTGATTTCCTCAAAAGTACTTGGCACTTGTAAACCAAACCAGAGCAGAGCAAATGCACCGCCATATAGTGGATTTCGACTCAGTGAACTCAGTCTGTTGCTTATGGAGTATTTAAAAGGCAATACAACAGATAATGTGGCAATTAGGCAACAGGTTAATATCTATAACTTTACCAGTAATGACATTTTAAAAGTTTCACAGAAAGACATGCACATGACCAGTAAGCACATGCAAGATTGTTGGATTCACCAACTGTGTGGTTATAGGTAGAGAGAGAAGCCTCGTCTCCCAGTGTGAATGAGACCCTGTGGGAACTGACATAACTCCAGGCCCACCTTCATCTCTGTTGTTATTATTATTATTACTTTTAATCTTGGTTGATTTGCTTGGCAGGAATGAATAAGTGTTTATTCGGGAATTCTTTGATGACTACTAACAAGGCTGGTAATTTTAAGAATTATTCATTCTCCATGTTTTAATTGATATTTCCTGTTTTTAACGGTTTGTTTGTTTTTTAATGTGAAGATAATCTGTTTGTTGGGGACGTATCTTTCCCAGAGTGCTCCTCTTCTTTTTGGCATGAACATATTTTGTGCTTTTGGGACATGGGCTTGTAATTCTGTATTTCAGGTCTGCCACCAAGGACTCGTTGATAATCATAGATGAGTTGGGGAGAGGGACTTCGACTTACGATGGCTTTGGGCTGGCGTGGGCGATCTCAGAGTACATTGCCACAAAGATTGGTGCCTTTTGCATGTTTGCCACCCATTTTCATGAGCTCACCGCCTTGGCCAGTCAGATAGCAACTGTGAATAACCTCCACGTCACAGCACTGACCACCGAAGAGACTTTAACGATGCTGTACCAGGTGAAGAAAGGTGAGTATCTGCACCATCAGCAGCACGCGCCCGGCTCTTGGGATCGCCAGCAATTTAAGTTAGTACGAATCACTGAGGTTTTGGCAAGGGAGCTTTCTCTCTTAATCCCTCCAAGCTAGGGACAGGTAAGTGGTACGTGATGCTCCTGTGGCTCCCAGGAGGACCACTAGTCTAGAGCCATTCCAGAAAGCGCAGACTGTCTTCTCCAATGGCGCCACGGAGGCTGTTCCACTTCTCCCCTGCCACTGTTTTCTCGTTGAATCCGCTACTAGGTCGTAGAAGTTACCACGTTTGGGGCGCCGAGGCTCTACTTTTCTCCCTGATTATCTAGTTGTCTTTTTGAAGGTGAGTTTTATATCGTGGGGCATTTAAAGCTGGGCTTTCAGCAGTCCCACACAGCCCCAAGTGGAATGGGTTCTCTGGCTAGTTCGTCCTTCACCTGTGCCTTTGGCAGCTGGTCAGATTACGGAGTTGGTGGAATTAGCACCCGTTTGTTGACGTTGTTCGGGTGTCCCAGTGGGCTAAGCATGGGGCTTAGTTGGGAATTCCCTCAAAGTTGGGAATTCAAGCCCACCAGCCTCTCCATGGGAGGAAGAGGAGGCTGTCGTCTCCCTTAAAGATTTAGTCTCAACTTGATATGCTTGAATAATAATTCAGTGGTATAACATGTGGATAAAGTGATAATAAAATTGTTTAAAAATATGTATATGGATTTAGCCTGAGAACCCCTAAGGAGCAGCTCCACTCTGTCCTGTGAGTGTTCCTGTGACTTAGAACGTACCCCTTGGCAATGGGTAAGAATTCAGTTGCATAAATCTTTCCCCATCTTCAGAAAAACTTGTCAGGTGCCTTTCTCATTTCCCTTGAAGTTTTGTTGCTTCTGAGTTTGATGGCCGCTTGTTTACCTTCAAGCCTTTAAGACCCCAGGTGCTGTATCTTTTGATAGCCGGGCACCATCAGCTTTCTTTGCCACATTTGCTTATGCACCCATTTGCCTTCAGCAATCATGTCATGGAGGTGAGCACATAATGATACGATTTTTTGTTCTCTGATGCCTGATCCCTGATCCCTTCAGCACCTTGTGATCACACAGGCTGGTGTGTTCTTCCTTGTGGGCTTTGTTGCTTCTGAGCTGGATGGCCACTTGTTTACCTGCAAGCCTTTAAGACCCCAGACGCTATATCTTTTGATAGCTGGGCACCATCAGCTTTCTTCGCCACATTTGCTTATGCACACAGTTTGTCTTTCAGGAATGTGTCGGGAAGGTGAGCATCATGGGATGCCAGATTAGTAGAACAAAGTGTTCTCACGTTGAGGGAGTACTTGAGTGGAGGCCTAATGTCCATCTGCTACTTTAATACTAAACCTATAAATATATGTACATAGATCTATTTCCCCATCGGTCATATATAAATATATTTGCATATGTGCATAACCTGTACTTTGACCTCTGTTAATGCTCCTTTGCCTCCTAGTACTTTCCTTTATTCCTTTTACTTTCCTCTTGTCCCACTATCATTTTCAGCCTTCATTTGGGTTTCATTAATTCCTCTCGGTTACATTGCCCTTGATCAAGTCCTACCAGGCCTCTTACACCCTCCTTGTCATCGATTTTGGATCACTTGTTGTTCCCTTGTACCTGGGTTTATTAACACCCACTTCCTTTTCCCTGCCTCCCTCCCTCCCGTGTCTCCCCAGAACCTTTGATCCCCTTGTTTTCTCCTCTGGATTGTTTATCTTGCCTATCTTATCTAGATAGTCATACAGAGACAATGTTGTGCACAAAAGGAAGACAGAGCAAAACAAAGCAACAAAAGAAAATAAAACAACAGTAGCAGCAACAACAACAAAAGAAAAAGGAAAAGCCTGTAGCTAGTTCAAGGTCTGTTTGTTGACCTTCAGGAGTGTTTTCTGGTCCAGTCTGATGGGGTGCCACGTCCTGGCCCCACAGTCTATTTTTGGTATTCCCCAGGGATTTCATTGCTCTGCTCCCCTTGCTGTTCTGTTGCACGCCCTTAGTGTTTTGCCTCGGTGTGGAGGGGTCAGGTAGGGCACAAATCCCGCACTGTGTCTCCAGTGTTGTCCCCATAGCACTATGGGTCAGTGAGGAATGCCCTGTCTTGTGGTAGGTTCGGGTCCTATGGCCCTCTGTGCATTGGCTGCTCTGAGCAGGAATATTGTCCTCAGGGCTTGGTGGGCCAGGATGTGCTCCACTCTCTCTCCCTCCCCCTTAGTTTGCTTCTGTGTGTTCTGATCAGACATGTCCCTCTCCTGAGCAGTAGCTTCAGTGCTGTCCTCTGAAGTGAACTGTTCTAGGTGGAGGAGGGGCTGTCCACCTAGTTGGGATTGGGGCCGGCCCCTCAGACGTCAATTGGTTCCCCCTGTTACTATTACATCCAATCTGGGTATTGGATATGGCATTTACCATGAAGATTTTTTGCTTTCAAATCATTGTTGGGGTGTCATTAGTTCTGGAAGCGGCTCTGATAGTAGGGATGCCCAGGGGTTGTATAGAGAACAGGAGATGAGCCTTTGCTTTGGTTTTCGTTTGTGTCTTTCAGAGTGTCTGGCTCCAGCAGATTGCATAGGCCAGACAAGCAGGTGCATAGAAGCTCGTTTCTGGTCCTTTAGGAGCAGAAAGATCAAAATCACGCTATGATCCGGGCCCTTCTCCCTCCGGAGGGTCTAGGGGAGAATGCCTCCTGCTACGTTCTTAGCTTTCAGTGACTCTGGACAGTCCTTGGCCGTCGACACTGCTCCAGTCTAGCACTTTCTTCACACTTGTGTCTGTGTGTCTGTCCTCTTCTTAGAAGGACACTGGCCATTGGGTTTAGGGCTCACCCGGATTCAGTGTGATTCCTACCTACTGAGATCTGTGGAAAGACTGCTTCTAAGTAAGGAAGGTCACCATCTAAGATCCTGGGTGGGCATGAATTTCAGGGTGGGGAACACTCTTCAACCAACAGCAGAATTCATGTCTAATGGAGACAAAATTGGAAGTTCCGCAATAGTTCAACTCATGAACTCCTAGGGAAAATTTTGGAAAACGTTTCTTGAGGTGGTTCCTTCTACAAATGGGGTGAAGATTAGTCTATAATTTTTTTTAATCGTTTCATTAGGGGCTCATGCAACTCTTATCACAATCCACCCATACATCAGTTGTGTAAAGCACATTTGTACATTCATTGCCCTCATCATTCTCAAAACACCCGCTCTCCACCTAAGCCCCTGGCATCAGGTTCTCATATTTTCCCGCTCCCTCCCTTCCCCCCGTCCTCAGGAGCCCTTGATAATTTATAAATTATTATTTTGCTGTATCTTGCCCTGCCCGACATCTCCCCTCACCCACTTCTCTGTTGTCTGTAGTTTATCGGCAGTTTGGGTGTTGACATTTCTCTGTGGTAGCTCACAATCTGATTCAGATGGTGGGAAAGTGGCAGCAACTAATTTACCGAGCCAGCTTTCCTGAGCCACCATCAGTAGGAAATGAGGTCAGCAGAGGCAGGGGACTTGCCATTCTGTAGGCATAAAGCAATCTGGCTGGAGTTAAATGCTGCTTCTAATTGCTGACACTTTACTTGTCCTTTGTGCTTGGCTTCCTCCTGTGAACCCAGGGACCCACATTGATGAATTTCTTGCTTCTAAGAAGCAAGGTGAGGGCATTTTCCAGGCCTTTACCAGGCATGTGCTCTGCTGCCCCTCCTGCATTGGTCAGGGGAGGGTAGAGCACCATGTGCCAAGCTAAGTCATAGCCACTTTGCAATGGCGATTTAAAGTTCCCTTATCTAAATTACTCTGAGAGGTTTGCCCAGTGTGTTTTAAATCCTAGTAACAGGTGAGAGGCGGGAGTCACTTATCACTACCTCTTCTAACCCTCCAACGTCCTCCAGGTGTCTGCGACCAAAGCTTTGGCATTCATGTTGCGGAGCTTGCCAGTTTCCCGAGGCATGTCATCGAGTGTGCTCGGCAAAAAGCCCTGGAACTAGAGGAGTTCCAGAACATTGGGCAATCTCAGGAATGGGGTGAAGCAGAAGCACCCGCAAAAAGATGCTATCTGGAGAGAGAGGTGAGCCTGCTTCTGGGTCATTCCTTGTTACAGACACCAGGCACCAAGCGGTGGGCTTGGTTTGTGTGTGTTTTCCTGTGATTCTAGTGTCTAGCTTTTGAATGGTCGTTCCTGGCTTTCCGTGCCATTTCTTGCATGGTGTAGAATGCACCGATGCCATTTTGCCCTCTGCAGTCCCCCTGCATAATCAATCACAGAGATGAGACTGAGGAGTGCGCCAGGGAGGGGAAAGGAGGACCATGTGTTTCTCCAAGGAAGTTCTTGGGGGACAGAATCTCTTTATTCCCTTAGAAAACGTGGCTCTGGTATTGGCCCTTCTCTGCTTGGTGGTGGGATTTGATAGACTTTAAAGTCACAGAGCAAGAAATCATGTTTATTAGAACAGTGTTTCCACCACCATAAAAAGGAAGAGAGAGAGAGTGTGTGTGTGATATTTTCAGTGAGTTTATGCCTTATCCAATGGTTGGTAAACTTTGAGGATTCCCCCCTCCCCCCAGAAGACTGAGTTTCTGTATCAGAAATGACAAAACTACGGGTTTTGCCAACTATAAAAGTATTCAGCTCCTTTGTCTTTAGTAGCTGAACATATATTTATAAATGTTCTTTTAATGACTTGCTATGAAAAAACAGAAGGCTTTGCTATATGTTCTAGACCGGGCACACTTAAGAATGTTCTTTAAATATTTAGAATGAAATTTAGTGACATAATCTATTGTCTGTCTGGTGTAACTTACAGTCAAGACTAATCGGTTACATGTTCTTCCAGCAAGGTGAAAAAATCATTCAGGAGTTTCTGTTCAAGGTGAAGCAGGTGCCCTTGACTGAAATGTCGACAGAAGACATCACGACGAAGCTGAGGCAGCTGAAGGCCGAGGTGATAGCAAAGAATAATAGTTTTGTAAATGAAATCATTTCACGAATAAAGGGGACTGCATAAGGAAGCCCAACTAATGGAACGAAGATAACACTGATAAGCTATTGTCTGTAATACTTCTGTATCGTTTTCTACGTAACCCTCGATCGTGCTGCCAGTTGACGACTGAGAACAGTTTAATGTGTGGCACAGTGCTGTGCTCTAAGTCCATTTTACAGATCTTTATCTTGGGGGAGGTGAGGGACCAACAGAAAACACAGCTGACTGAGGGGAATATGTAAATGGACACGATAATAAACACTATGTTGAATTTTATAAATAAAACCATGTGGCTCGTGGACTGAGGTGCCTGCACACTCGTCGCTGTTAATGAATGTTCTCCCCTGTGCCCGTGCACAGTGAGAGGCAGCACTTGCTGTCCCGGCCCTGCCTCGCGCTCCTCAGACCTTGGTGACCCATCTGAGCTCACTGCCATCGTCAGTCCTGACTCACAGCGACCCCCCAGGACAGAAAACACCATCTCTTCAAAGAAGCTCCTGGTGGTTTTGAACTGCCGACCTTGCAGGTCTCAGCCCAACACGTAACCACTCTGCCACCAGGGCGCCATGGATGATCCGTAGGGTTTCCCTTGGCTGAGTTTTTAAAATAGATCATCAGCCCTTTCTGCTTGGTCCGGAAGATCCACTGAAACACGTGCAGTGCTCTGGTTGGGAATAGAATCCAGGTCTCCCCTATATGGGAGCAAAAGTTGGCCACTGAACCGGGGATGCTCACCGATTTAATGTAGCTAGGTTGTCCTTTTCATTTGCCATTCGGTGCTGCATATCTTTCCTGCCCAATTTATCTAACCAGCGTGCCTGATTATGCTTAGTACCCAACTGCCAGTGACTCCGCTGTACATTGCATCGAACATAAGGCACATACTTTGATTTTTTAAAAATATTTCGTTTTCATTATTATCAGTATCTTTGTAAATGCAATTTTTACTTGCCTTTGCGGGGGGGTTAGCACGAGAATAAGACCATCAACAAATTGCACACCTTGTGTGTAGTTCATTTTACCAAGAATAAGATAAACAAAAAGGTCCTAAGGGCAGCTCGTAGTAAAAATATATTGTCAGCTGGGGACTACCTGTACAAGGGGAAAGTTGCAATTAGGAGATAGTGGGAATTTCTCACAAAGGTTTTGAAGCCCCCTCATATGATTCCTAAATGCTGAGTAGTCAAAGCATCTTAAAGCTGGAGGGCTCGGCTGAGCCCCCTGCTGCGATTCCCCAGGTCCCTGGGTTGGCATATCCAGGTTAGTAGTATGCTCTCCAGTCCAGGAGCCTGCATCCACCCAGTCTTAATGCTAATGATCCTCTCACTCCCATCCACGGTGAGATTTAAAACTATGGATTTTAAAACTAGTTTTATTGGCATATAATTCACGTAGACAATTTAATTGTTCAATCATAATAAGAGTTGTACAATCATCACCTCAGTTTCAAAACATTTTCGTATGTTCCCTGTTACCTCCCATTTCTCTCCCCGTCTCCCCTGCCATGCCCCTAGGTAGTAGTTAGTGGGTGTCATTATAGATTTACCTATCCTGGATTTCATATGTAGACAATCATGTGAAATACACACCCAACAAAAAAAACAAAAACCTCAGTAGAAAAGAAAGAAACTATTAACTGAAGCATCTTTAAAATGGGCCAGAAGGGGATATACTGTGTGTTAGTCTGGGCTGACTAGAGAAACAAATTCATAGACACTCATGTGCAAGAGAGAACTTTATATAAAAGAGTCATTGTACATTAAGAAAACAGCCCAGTCCAGGTTAAGTCCGTAAATCTGATATTAGCCCATATGTCCATTACCAGTATACATTTTTCTTCAGATTCATGCAGCACGTGCAATGATGCCGAATGCAGGAAGAAAGATCATAGGCTTGTGGGCAGAAAGTCTTGTGGATCCAGTGGCAGCGGACGCATTGCAGCGCTGGTGTAGGTCTCCACGTGACTTCTCCAGCCTCAGGGTACTAGCGCCATCAGTGTAGCATAGCTGGTTTGTCAGCATGAAGATAAGCAAAGCCAGTCTTGGGCCTCCAGGGAGGAAAACAGGAGTTCCCAGAATCCTTAGGAGAAGGCCATGCCTATACAGAGGCCTCATTGGCTGTGGCTTGATTTACAGGCTGGACCTCCACCCCTTTGTAAGTTGACAGGCGATTATGTAACTGCTACATTTTAACCCAGCTGCATTTGCCATAATCAACTTGAAGGTGTTTTCTCCTCTTGATACCAAGGCTATTTACGTCCTTGGGTTTTTGTCGGAGGGGAATTCACCAGAGGCTTAATCCATGTGAGGATTTTGCAAATGTATTTGGGTTCCTATTGTCCTCCATAGCCCTCTGTAAACTGGGTGGTCAGAATTTAAGCTCTGATGTCATTTCCTCCTTCAGATTTGGATTTTATTTATAATCCTTGGATCACACAGGCTGGTATGCTTCTCCCGTGTGGACTTAGTGATTCCTCACTTAGACGGCTGCTTGTTTTAAGATGCTCTTCTTTCTCATAGTTGGGCATGGTGTGGTTTCTTCACCACACTTTACTATAGCTCCATATCTTCAGTGATCTCTTCATGAGGACAAGTATCAAGTAGTGCCGTGTCATAAGAACTAATTATTCTTAGATTTAGGCTAGGATTAAGTGTGAACTCAAAATCCACTAGTATATCTATGGTTTATGTCTGGTCTACTTCAGACATAATTTTCAGTTTATGATAGAGAACATTATAAATCATCCCCTGGGGCATAAAGTGATTCTGTTGATTGTGTCATTAATTTAGCCAATGGGATAGACTTTAAAACACTTGAGAAAAGGAAATTACACATGTATAGACCGAAGTACATGAATCATTAACTTGTACCGATGAAATGCTTAAGTGACCGGACACTTTACACTTTTTACATGAACAATGGGGTTTGGTGACAGTGCGAGAGTTTCAGTAACACTCTGCACAGAGGCAGAACCATGCTTACCAGACGAATACATCTCATAAGAAAGCATGGAGAACACTGAAATGGTAAATATGTGGTAGCTCGGCCACCATTCGTTGGGTGTGGCAAACTGAGGGATTGGATGAGAATGTAATGGAGTTAAACCCTATGTGCTCATCATTACGGGTCTGGAAAGCACACTGGTGGGGGAAGACCTCAAGGTTATGAGCTACAAATAAATATTCACACATTCTCATGGCTAGACCCAGTTCCCTCCAATAACCCCCATAAAGGGGCTACCATAAAAGATGTCACCCTTGGCTCTGCCTATTCCTGTGCCTGGAGGTTACCTGTAGATAAGAACAATCAGGTTCTATAGCCAAACCACCTTAAAATGTAGCAAACCCCTGGGAGAGCTCAGGGGCATTTGAGGTCAATTAGCACTCAATCAAGGCCTGAGTCATTTCATTGCCTGGTTTTTGGGTTATCCGTTTATGATATTACCCATTAACTATGTAATATGTTAGTGGTAGGATGTGTCTGCCTTTTGAAAGCTCTGTAGGCCCCATTGTATATACCCACTGGAAAATACATTCACTCTCAGTCCTGACATAGAGACAACAGAGGCCCTGTGCCCCGCTGTCTGTGTGTCTCGTATTTTCCACAATCACAAAGTCACTTCTGAGGAGGACCCGTTCGAATGCTGGGGATCCCCTCACCCTAACAATTGGGAACCTACGCCCAATGACCCCCATTCCGTCACCTGGGAATAGCAGTCATCTGCTTCTCACACTAGGAGATTTCAGCCGTAAATCCAAGGGAGTATGTCCGTTCCTTAAATTGCTACAGGTGATTTTGAGGTAAGGCCCAGGTGGCTTAGTGGGGTTTCCACAGCAAATCCTGGTGTCATCTATGGAGGAGGCTGTGCACCTTGAAAGGATCAGAGTCTAAAGTCCCAGTAGTCAGTCTGTAGCACATGGCGGGTTCCCCAAGGACTGGGCAGAAACTAGGTCAAGTGGCAATGAGGAACAGTACTGGGTGGATCCTCCTAGTACTAGATAGGCATTGCTAAGTGCTTTCCCCTTGGGAGGTTGCTTCACCTGGTCTACTCACCAATAAGAGCTTACCTTTCGTCTCTTGAGACATACAGGCCCCACTCCCCCCACTTTGATTTGAATATCCAGTAATGCTCGCTTATCACGCTTGTGAATTTGGAGTGACCTTAGCACCAGGTTGTATTTTTGAAAAACTGACCCCAGCCGAGTCGCAGCCTCTCTGAAGGTGGTGTTTAAGATGTATAAATACAGGGGGCATACATGGCTCACGGCTCTGGGCAGGCTCCACTGCATTGCTTGGGAGACCGGTTTAGATGATTCCATGGCCTGAGAGCAGAAGCCTCCTTTTGCCTGAGTGCTTATTCTTACAGTAGTGGACTCAGGGAGCCCTGGTGATGTAGTGGTTACATGTTGGGCTGCAATCTGCATTTCTCAACCATTAGTAGCTCCTCGGGAGAAAGACTGGCCTTTCTACTCCTGTAAACAGTAACAGAATGATTCGACGGTAGTGAATTTGTTTTTGGTGGGGGTGGGGGGTGGACTCATACAGTATTTGACTAATTGGGATTGATTAACTTCTTTCAGCATAATGGTTTCCAGGTCCTTCCACATCATGAAGTGTTTCGTCGCCTTTTTAGGGCAGCATACTAGTCCATCTTGCATGTGTACCAGGCTTTCTTTGTCCATTCTACTGATGGCATTTGGCCTGTTTCCAGCTTCATGCTGTTGTTAACTGTGCTGTGATGAGCCTGGGAGAGCACATGCCTGTTTCAGTTCTGTCTCTTCTTCGGGGTGTATATGCCCAGGAAATGTATTGCTGGGCCATAGGAATTTCTAGTCCCAGTTGATTTAGGTATTGCCATATTTTCTTCCATAATGGCTGTGCATATTTACAAGCCCACTTGAAGTTTGTAAGTGTTCCAATTTCTCCCCATCCTTTCCAGCATTTGTTGTTCTGTTTCTTTGAAGGGCTAATGTGGGTATAAAGTGATATCTCATCGTTGTTTTGATTGGTCTCTCCCAGATGGCTAGTGACCATGAGCCTTTCGCCATGTGTTTGTTAGCCATTCGAGTGTCCTCCCTTGTGAGTTGTCTGTTCATGTCCCTTGCCCACCTTTCAACTGGACTGTTTGTTTTTTCTTACTGAGATGTTGCCGCATTCTATAGATTTTAGTAGTTAGTCCCCTGCCCATTGTATCATTGCTAAATATTTTTTCCTCATCTTTGGGCTCTAGTTGTACTGTTTGATGAAGTCTTTTGATGTGTATACGTGTTTTAATTTTAATAGGTCCCAGTTAATCTATTT